AAATCACAAGCTTTGAAAGTCTCACAATCAGGAGATAAAGATTGACATGACTTTATTTATTCGAAACAAGTTATCCAAGCTTTAAAAGTACCCATCCTCCCGGCAATGGGACAGATAAACAGAAAATTAGTTGAAAGATATTTTAAGAAAATTTCAAAATATGTTGGGAGATTTTCTTTTTATATAAAGAAATTGATTAATAAGAATTTATTTATTCATTCAACAAATATTTATTGAGCTCCTACTATGTGCCAGGTATTGTTCTATCCAATGGGGACACAGCAGTAAACTCCTCTGCTCTTGTGGAGTTTATATTCTAATGGAGGAGACAGACAAGAAACAAACAAACAAGCAAACAAATATATAACAATGTCAGGTATGAAAAGTGCTATAACAAAAATAAAACAAGGTGGTATAATAGAGACTGCTGGGAATCTGCTAGTTTAACTGGGTGGTCTGCGAAGGCCTATCTAAAGAAGTGAAGAGAAAGAATCAGCCCATCTGAAGGAAAAGTATACCAGAGAGGGAGTTGTAAAATGCAACAGACATGAAGAGGAAGCATTTGTGGCTTGTTTAAGAAACAATGAGATCAATGTGGCTGCAAAGGAATGAGCAAGGAAGGGTGATAAGAGATGAGCTGAAGAGGTAGCAGAAGCCAGCTCAAGCAGGGTCTCGATGGGTTTGAGATTTTATTTTAAGCAGGGTGGGAAATCAATGGAAGATTTTTACTAGGCCACTGACATGCTTTGATTCAGGAAATTCTCAAGGACAAACTGAGAACTTTCTAAATGGATATTGTGTTTTCTGGGAGTTTCGTGATACTATAAGAAGTTGTGGACATATCAAAATATGGAAGAGAGGGACAGAACAAAGAAAATTTTCTTTTCGATCACTTAGGAATTAGCCATAGAGAAAGCAGAAAGAAAATTAAACCACTTATCATCACGTCACCAAGAAAAAATCGCCATCAAAATGTGCATATCCATTCAGTCTTTAATTTACATTTATACAAAATGAAATAGGGTAACATATTTTTAAGTGTGAGTTTTAGCCTTAACCTTTGAAGAACCAGTGTAGTATTCAATCAGTAAGGCTGTACTAAAGGTGAAATAGCAATGGGACATTTCCTGGTTATTCTAGTAATCAGAACTTTGGAATGATGAGCAAAGTGGACTGTAACAAAACATGTGCGTTCTGTCTTTCATGCCGGGACCTAAACAACTGGGACTGGTTCCTGGGTGACAGTTTCAGAAAGACTGAACTCTATCCCTGTTCTCCTGACCTCCTTCTTAGTTATGAGTCACTGTTATCTCTGTTTTCTCAGGTTTGTTAGTTCCCAATGTGAGAAAAGTAACTTTATTACAAGGAGAGGATTTATGGGGGAGGCCAGCCCCGTGCAGGTCCAAGGACTAAGCTGTTAGTCGGCATTGTTAAATCTACAAACAAAACCACTTTTCAGTTCTTTTCAGTTTTCAGTGCCTCGGTATAGTCATCCAAACCTGGCCTCATCTCCCCCAAGCCTTTACCTTCTTGTAGACAGAACCAAAGAAAGTTAAATAATTTAATCTCAAAAGAAAAAAGAAGTTGTTCTTTCCCAGATGAGGAGAGTAAGGCACTCACCCTGGGCACATAATTTAAGGGGGTGCCAAAAAAACTCCCTAATCAAGATAAATAATATTTTACACGATATTTAAAAAATAAAAATTACTGTAAAACAATCTATCATTTTTTAAAATGTTAAAATTTTAAAAAAGACAGGCTCAGTATTACTAATTTTTCCTTCCACCTGAAGCTCCAATAAGGCTTGGTGGGGCACTGTTACTGACCTTACCTGAACCTCCTGAACTAGAATTTCTGGGAGGCCCAGGAGTCTGTATTTTATTAAGCTTTCCAGGTGATTCTTACATATGTTAAGTTAGAGAAATACAGGAAAAATGATCTCTGAAGTTTCACTTTACTTTTGATAATATTCTAATGAAGTAATCATTGGTGCTATGGGGGGAAGTTTGTCTAAATGTTAAACAATAAAATAGTCATCTTATTCCAAAAGCAAAGAGAGAGAGACACACACACACACACACACACACACACACACACACACACACACACACAATGACACAATGACTAGCTAAGGGGAGTTTTACCCTAATTCCACCTCAAAGCAGCTAACATTATAAATTTTGCCTCAAAGCAGCTAACATTATAAAAAGGCTTTGATGCAATAATTTCCCTTTATATTGACTGTTGAACAATCAATATTATTGAGTGCCCAAAGTCCATATGACACTGAGAGACAGATAATATAATTTTGAAGATGTAGGAAGTCAGCAGAGTTTCTACTTGGTGAACAACCAATATACCTATTGATGTATCTCAACCTTCAATGCTACTGTATCCATTTATTCCAAATGATTCTCAGTCTTTACATAGGCCTCATGAATTCAAGGTTCACATGACCAAAGAAGATTCTAAATGGGTTTTATGTGAGTTGATGATCTTTCAGACTCAACTTCATGGTGTGCAGATCTACATTTATAATCTTCTCTCTTACAATTTGATGATCGAAGTAGAAGTTAGGATGGTGACTGATAGAGATGTAAACCATCCACTAATTCCAACTTGAATTAAGTTTGAATTGAGATATATTCCATTCAAGTAGCCTTTTCCTGATTGTCTCTATAAAAAATTGTTGTTATTGTTATTGTTCTTGCTTGAAGGGCTAAAAGGAGCCCAGAGGAGGTTACACAGATAAATTAAGGTCGAGTCAAAAGTAGGGTTTACCTAATAAAACCACCTTATGACTCAGCAATTCCCCTTCTGGATTTTACTCCCCCAAAATCCAAAACCCTAATTCAAAAAGATATACGCACCCTTATAATCACTCAGTATTATTTGCAACAGCCAAGATATGGAAGCAACCTAAGTGTCTATCAGTAGATGACTGGATAAAGAAGATGTGGTACTTATATACAATGGTATATTACTCATCCAAAAAAAAGTAAAATCTTACCATTTGCGACAATATGGATGGACCTAAGGGTATTACACTAAGTGAAATAAGTCAGACAGAGAAAGACAAATACCATATGATCTCATTTATGTGTGGATACTAAAGGGCAAAATAAACAAACAATATAAACAGACTCATAGATACAGAGAACAAAGTGATGGTTGCCACATGGGAGGGGATTGGGAGTTGGGTGGAAAAGATGAAGGAAAGAATTAAGAAGTACAAATTGGTAGTGGCAAGATAGTCACAGGGATGTAAGGTACAACATAGAGAATACAGTCGATAATATTGTAATAAACTACATACAGAGCCAGGTGGGTACTAGACTTATCAGGGGATTACTTTGTAAATTATATATATGTCTAACCACTATGCTATACACCTGAAGTTAATATAAAATAATATTGAACGTCAACAGTAATTTAAAAATAAAAATTATTTTTAAAGGCATTTATAAATGTAAATAAATAAATAAAATACCAAAAAAAAAATAAGTAAGGCTTATCCAACCTAGCACAACATGACATGGAACCAGAGTAATTATCAGGTAGGTTACAGAACCAGAGTAATTATCAGAAAGCACTAAGGCTGTAGCTGAAATAGTAACAGGCTTTAATCCAAGGGTGAGATGAGGCAGAAAATAGGCAAACAAGGAGCCAGACTGATCCCTGAGAAAATAAAACATCAAGCAGAATCAGATATTTGGCACGATTAAGGCATGTAAGAACTAAGCCTGTGAATGGTCAGCAGGTACTACCTTCCTTTCTCAGGTTGTTTGGTGCACACAGTAGGGATCAGTGTGGGAACTTCATCTCTGCCCTGGACAACCTCTCAATCTTGACCCCCTTTTTCCTGCACCCAACGCCTCAAAACCTTCCCCATTAAAAATGACAATGGAGACTGACAAGTAGAGAATGTGATGGCAAAGAGAGGGTCACAAGTCCCCTTAAATGTCTAACCCTAACTACACATGCCTTCCTTCTTCACATATATTTCCCCATACTAGACAAAGCAACAGCTCTCCCACACACCACATTCTAGGGCATCCTATGTCACGTAACAACAGAACTCTCCTGTCACAGGTGAGTGCAATGTACCAGAAA